TTCACACTGAACATTTATGGGCCAAAGCAATTTGCCTGGGTCATGTGTCAGATTGCAGGGTGCTGTCAGGAAGGGACATTTCTTGCATAATTTCAGGAATTTTGCCCCTACTTTTGGTAATAATACTGATAGGGAACATGAAATGGAAAAAAATCCCCTCAGATTTCTAATGTCTATTAAATACAAGTACTTAATGTCTATTAAATACAAGCATTAAATACTAGCCAGTTTCTGGAATATGATGCCTCTTCCTCAGATTTGATGCTGCTGGTTGATACTTGGTCTCAGAATTTCATTCAAATATAAAACAAATAAAACTACAGGAATTTTAAGAAAAAGAAAGAAGTGTTRGAATGTTTGTTTGGTGACTTACTGCTCCCAGTGAATAAACAACATGAAGATGCTGTATGAATCATCTCAATTGACACATCTGCCATGCTACCTGAGGGGGACTATTCTTGCCCTACAAGTTCTAGCAGAATGGATTTATCTAAACCCAGAGTCACAGTGGCACTTCAATATTCTCAGTCTGGCTGTTTATGCAAAAAAACAGCTGTCACAAAGCTAAGAGCAACCAGGTTGTCAGCAGTTCTGTATTTTGAGAAGCAGAACTCAGCAACGCTTTAAGCTGCTAGGAGGCTCAACTTTAATAGCAAAAATGCTGTCCTAAAGCCAGATTATCATTATGCCATTTGAGACTATATCCGAGAGAAGACTTCACACAACAATTTCTGCAAGTGTGACTTAGTGCTTATCTATAGATCATTACATCAATAACTATCACAACTTGCCTTCCCACCAAAATTCTCTATCACATTGGCATCAAGTTTACCCACTGAAGTGATGGGAATTTAGGCCTGCATGCTACAAGTTCTGTCATTTCCCAYTGCATTCTTTCTATTCTGATTCACTCCAAACCAAGATACAGTTGTCACATGAATAATGGTATTTTAAACAAATTTCTATTAATGTTAATGGAGCTCCCTCTTGTGGGTGAAACCATTCACAAGGCACTTCCATCACCAACTTTGTTTCAACAAGTATTTTCCTAATACCTGACTCCCTGTTAAGAGCCCTTCAGCTGAATTCAAACCAGCTAACGAGAACTCTCATTGCTTTCACCTGGAAGATCACATACATTTATTGCTGACAAAGAAGCTYATTCATTTTTGAAGTTTTCTGTACCATATATTCATTGCCACAGACTAATCTCAAGACACTCAATAGCCTGTATCAAGTAGTATTGCATCACATCAGTCAGAAATTTGTTTTTCTCTTAAATAGAAAACATTGCCCCCTCTCTGCACATGGCATTTCTTTCTGCTTAGACCACCTGCACCTGAAACAGTTTGTGCCAAATGCAGCAAGCACATTCAGTGACACTCCAGATCAGGCACAACTGCCCCAGAGACAATTTACAGGACTCCACAATAGAGTTAAATTTTCCATTGCAAATTCTATTTTATTTTAAAGCTGAAAGGCCACATAGCACTTTGAATGCAAGTCATGTTTTCAGCTTGCAAAATGCTTTTTCATGGRAAAGTCTTGCCAGCATCCACAGCATAAATCCTACTACCACTGAAGGGAGGGACATCAAACATACCAAGTGAGTAAACTTCACAAATTTCTGTAAAGTTTCCAGTTAAAAACAGGGCAGGGGTTTGCATGGAAATATTTCCTCATGAAACAGGCTGCTTTAAAGCAAACAAAATAAGGAAGAAATCCTTACTCCTTTTTCAGCAGATATGCCAGGTTCAACACAGGGTGGCAGCAAGGGACTGGCTCTGCAAGTTTGGGAGGAGAACAGGCCAGCACCACCCTCAGCACCAAGACATGAGCTCCTTCCTGCAAAAAACTTCTTCTCTTTACATAAGATCACRGCACAAACGTTCTTTTCCGAAATATGACTCTCAAGAATGGCATCCCAGCAATGCCTCTTCCCTTGCATGCTCRTGAGGCTGCAGATCTGGCTACTTTTTCTCCTTTTCATGATCTGTCAGTGCTCACATCAATCTCCTTTTCAGTCTGCGATGTCCTCCAATTCATCTGAGTAACMTCAGTGACAAAATCAGCTGCTAGATGCACTTACACAGTACTTGTCCTGGCAATACTGCAGCTGCCTGAATGTTTCTGCCCTCAGGTGTTCAGTGCTAGTTCTCAGTATTTCTGTATTTCACAATTAGCACCAGGAGATATCACAAATATATTTGTACCACAACAACTCCTCAGTTTTAGCCAAGATTTGGAGGTAARCCAGGTGGAGACATCAGGGCAGTGTCCACAGGTGCTTCCCTGAGCCATTCTGCTTTGTACCTACTTCCCTTCACTCACCACACACATAGCAAATCCCCAGTACCTTCCAATTAAGTCAATCTCTTAATTGACCTATAACCTAAATGATTTAAGCTCTCCAAGTCCTTCCATCAAGCAGCCCTGAAAATCCAGACACATCTCCTATCTGAAAGGACACATCCTTAAGCCCAAATGCTCCTATTAGCCATTCTATACAACACCAGAGACAGCTCTGGTGAAAGGTCACTTTATAAATATGTTGTTCTGTACCRTTTCCAGGACACAGAGCAGTCACCTTTGGAAGTCAGACCTTTGGCATGTGCTTCACCAGTCCTTAAGGCGTTGGGTTACCCAAAGCCCCCGTTGCTCTTGGAGAACAGCACCATGGGCTCGTGATGAGGGAGACAGGTGGTAGATGACAAGATACAAGTGCAAAGCAGGCAGTCAGGAGCATGTCCAGCACATTGCACAACCCCCTTGATTAAGGTCAGCGACACCCCATTTCAGATCAGAAATTCTCAGCCACAAAAATACCAAAGCCCTCCTTAGCCTTTCATAATAAGGCTTGACTGATTGCCATTTGAGGGAGTTGTTAGAGTGCAGTAAGTGAAGAAGATCAATCTATAAAGAATCTATACATCAGCTAATAGAAACTAGCTAACAAGAAACTGATCTCTAATACACCCGTCAGCTCACAGAAAGGGTAACTAAGAGCCAGACGGATTTAAATTTTGTTCCAAACACTATCTGTGTCTTTGTCCGAGTTCCTCCCTCCTGATTTTACTGGGTACCAAATGGGATAGTCTTGGGTGAGATTGCATTTGTTTTGGCAAATAAAATAAGATTAAGCTCTTGTCAGCATCTGGTATAAATATCAACAGTTATCTAGATTCTGTTCTACAATGAACTGTGACAAAAAAGTCATGCTATTTTAGTTTCGTCATACTAATATAAAAATAATTATTTAGGATAGCAACCTAGCTGAACTTTTTTTTTCAATATACTATGACTCTTAAAAGCCTTGGATTTAAAGACCTTGTTTACAGGAGTATTTCAGGCACAACATCTGTTGGCCATGGGTAAGCACATCCCTTTGCATATATGACCATTTAGGGGAGTAGAAAGATGTATCTGAAATTAAAAAGTCAAATTTAGCTATAACTATATAACTATAAAAGTCAGCTTTTTTTTTACATATTTATGGAAAAACAGGGAAATTAGGGTAAAGATAACTTCAGATAAAAGCAAAAACAGCAGCATTACATCTGAACTAAATTGCTTATCYAATATTATTGGACTATTTTTATTTTACATGAAAGTTTCACATCAATCTTCTATTTACTACTGTGCACRTACATAATAAGACTTGCTAAAAATCATAAAGACAAGTCTCAGTATATGGCAAGATCTCATAAAACAGGGCTAGGAGGCATTTCAGGGTATCTAGTTCCTTTTCCCCAGTATCTGCTTACAAGTGCTCCCAAGGTCTGTGGACTAGTCCTAGAGCTGCCTCATTTCCAAACATGACACTTCTCACATTTTGCAGTCAAATATTGTTTCCTATTTCAAAAAACCCTACTTTAAGATATTCTTTTGATGCCCAGTCAAAACCAGATATTCTTCCAGACCACCAGCAAGCCAGCTCTGTAGAAAAGTGGTTACAGCACAAATTTCTACAATTTCTACAAAGTTGGCACAAAGATCTCCCAAACCCTCTAGACAGCTTTTCTGCTGCCCCACAGATCAGTTACCCTGTAAATGAGCTATACTTCGCTTTGAGCTGGCTGTGAAATAGGAACTCTTAGTTCCTGTAGCTTTACTAGGCTTTTTAAGAAGCCACATGCTCTCCTGCTTTTGTTCAATTGAGCGCTCATGCTTTGCTCCCTAATAAAAGAKGTTCTCTCTCCGCTTAGTAAACACTACTCTCAGCCTTTTATTGTCCTGCAGAAAGAGAAGCGTGCCATAAAATGTGCGTAGGCAGGGTATCAATTTCCCTGTATTGATTTTAGAATAAAAGAATTGTTCATTTAATATTTTTGTTTGATTACTTTATTAACTGCATTGATTTGCAGCACAAGCTTTCTGAAGAAATAGGGTGCTCATGACTCATACTTATTCTTCAGCAAGAATCCCCATTAGATAATACATTATGCTAAGAATTACAGCTGCTGAGGCTTAATTATGATTAATTTATGCCTTCCCTTAAAGTAGATTAGGTTTARAGTTTGTAAGCATTTTAATCCTTTCTGTACAAAATAACTGTACTGTCTGGAATATGGATATCTTATAAATTATGGTAGGAATATGTCTCTTTTGCTAAGGTTATAAGTGGCAGGAAGAGATTACTGTCAAGTAATAGATTAACTTAAGAGCTGTAAATGTTATGGTGGGATATGGAAATGAAAACATTCATACAATGAAATCAACATAAGCATTTTTTAAAAAATGCAGTATGATTGCTTCTAGGTTGCAGATGAAAAAACAAGGTAGAGAAATGAGCATCTTTGAGACTGTCAGTGGCTGTCAGACTGTCAAAATTGAGTCCCAAAGTCCATTTGCTCTCCTGTTCCCTCTACCTTATCACATCCCCTATGCAGGGACACAAAACAAAAGGCACTCAGATGTCGACACAGAGATGGCCCCTCTGCAAATAAGCACATGTACAAATAATCACAGATGGCACAATCATTTGCCTGATCAAAACTTACACAAGAGAAAAGTAGTGGCTCTGGCATCRGTTAAGGTGTTGAAGGCCTTCATRTCTGTAGTGACAAAGCTGACTTCACGTGGGATACTGAAATACAGATAAAAATACAACTTTTTAGAAGAGTTTGATCAGTTTGTACAGCAGAATATATGCTAGTACTTGAAATAGCAGAAAGTTTGACAATTCAAGAGAGCTCCTCCACTTCTACACTCCTGTTTTCTTAATTAAACACTGAACTAGAGCTTGAGTTGCACTAACACCTACTTTTCTAGGTGTTCTTAATTAAAAGACTCAGGGAAAAAAGATCCTCAGAATCCAAGGTGTCTTAAATTCAGCTTCAGTTCTCCATCTAAACTTCAGCCTTTACGCCCTTTGCACAGAAATAGGTGCCAACAAGTGGAGGAATTTCACAGCTATTTCTGCAATGTGCAGAGGTAGGCAGAGAGTGGGTAGAGTTAAAAGTTACAAGCAGAATTTGTGCTTTTGAAAGCCACATTGTCTGAGCATTTACCACCAACATCTATGCTGAAAACAGTCCTTATATGAATATCTTCAGCAGAGGCTTCTGACTTCTTGTCTCCTCACATTCCTCCTCCTGCTTTCAGTATTTGAAACACATTGAATTGCYAAAAAATATTCTTTAGAATTTTGAATTAGAAAATAGTTGGTAGAAATAGATCAAACAGATGTTTCACAAAATTGTGCAGTACAAAAATATTGAAGACAGTATATCATGTTTATTATACAATGAAACATGCACAAACAATATAATATTCACTTTTTATCKTATGTAACATTATATTCACTTACATAACCTTATATTCTTAACTTTGCCACCTGTGCTAGGTACTAGCTCCACGCTGACAAGGAAGCCCTGTGTTCCTTGCTCTTTGCATTGAGCCCAGCATTACTAGTGCAATCATTGCTTCCCTCTTGCATTCAGAGAGCTCAGCKAAAATATTATTTCTGAGAATACAAGAGCCAGTTTTACAACTGTTGGTCACTCAGGGATATCTCAGGGCATGTCCCAAGCTCTTTTTCTAGATTAAGTTACTTACATGGGCTCTGAACCAGCAAGCCTGGCTCCAGGAAGGGTAAATCTTAGCCTGGAGCACACGGGTCCTACATGTCCAGCCACAACAAAGCACATCACAGATTGCCTCTCATTTGCTTTGGAGGCAGCTGTGTGAGCAAAAGGTGGAAGGTTTTCTGCTGCCAGCCAAAAACTGGTTAGATATATAACCAATGCAGTCGCACTTAAGCGCTTCATTACATATTGTCATTCCTCACAATCTCCCTCATTTACTTTGATATTCCTACATATATGGGTAACAGCTGAAAGATGGTAAAAACAGAATTTTGCTGTGATGTTATTACAAACCCAGTGTTGCCTACAATTCCAAGAGATGCATTATCAGCATGAAAAGAGTGTCAGCTGGCATGAACCAAAGGGGCTTATTGTGACTGGAGTCACTGAAGATTTGTCTCATTCCTGGAGAAAAGTTTTAATTTCTTAGGAAAAACTTATTGATTTGACTTTCATAAAAACAGCAGAGACTTCTACTTTGTTTCCTATTTTTGCTGCTTTTTCTTTTTTTCCCCATCTGTCCCCAACTCTAAAAATAGAGAAGGAGCTCAGGAGCTAGTGTCCTCTAACAGGGAAGAAAGATGATCGCAAATATGTTTCCATAACTGTAGTGAAACAGTATGCGACATCAGCCATGCAAGTTATTCACAACAAACTGACTGATTTATTCTTTATTTGCCCTGAGTAAATGCAGCATATATATCAAACATTTGCTTTAGAGCTACTGATTGCATTGCTATGAATGGAAAGTTCCTGATGAAAAAGGCTTGTCTGGAGAACACTGGTGAGATTCTTTTTTTCCTGAAGACTTCCATATTCGTGGCACTTCAAAAAGCTGTAGCTGAAATCACTAGAGCTATCTGAAAGGAGGATGATGCTCTGGCTTGAGAGCATAGAGAGCAACAAAGAGATATGCAAGATAGTTTTGGTGATGCATAAAACCTTTATCCATATCTGTGAACTGAGCCCAAACCATTAATTTTGCTAAAGAGAGACTAGACCATGGACACACATGGCACTGCAGCGCTTGTTGGCAGGAGACCCAGCTGCCATCAATTTAACTCATGCAGCAGAGTCTCCCCAGAGAACTGAGGCACACAGGAGGGACAWGATGGTGAAAAGCTGAGCAGCTGTTGCCTATGCTCAGTCTATTTTGTGGATAAACAAAGATTTAATTTTGCAGTCATGTTTAAACCAGCATCTTTAGAATGAACATATGTTTATACTCATTATGCATATGTTTATTAGAGCTGGTCATAATGTTTTGACAGAATAGTCCAATGAGAAAATGCACTTTTGTCAAAGCTGAAATGTTTTGCTAGATTGTTTCAGTTTCTTCTTCTCAGCAAGAGTAAAATATTTAACTTCAATACAGTAAACATTGTTTTAATTTTCCTATCACAGCAGAATATTAATATTTAGCAAAACACTTCACTATTACTGAAGAAAAATGTTTCAATGTTTCTGATTAAACATTTTGGAGAAATTTCTCTTCCAGAGATTTTTTTTTAACATCTTCTCTTCAGAGCTGAAGCTATTTCCAAAATYGAGGCTGTCCTCTCCCACAGAGAAGAATAACAGCCCATGAGGCCAGAGTGGAGCCTCTACCTATTAGAGCAACAAAACAGAGGTGAAAAGCTGCCTCATGAGACAGCTTGCTTGAAGTTATCTTCCTTGCTTGAAATAAACACAATTTTACCAGCTCCCATGATTTTATCAGAAGCATCCTGCTCTGTGTTTTGTTTTCAAAAACCAGCTCTCAGGATCTATTGATTTATAGGCAACTCCAAATGAAAAGGAAACATAGCCATCAACAAGACACATACATCTTTGGCCTTTGTGGTTTCTGAATAAAAATAATCTAAAATATGAACCAAGAGGCTCAGAAACCAGAAGTCAAACAAAAGAGCTGAAGTGTATCATTTTTGAAAAGCTTTTCTTTCTTTTCTAAAGCCAGTCTCATGATTTTTCTTGGCTCTGACTAATGATTTCCAAGGAACAGAGGCYCACAATATTATAATCTGCCTTCTGTTTCTCTCAATGCATATGTTACACTGAGCTTTTTTTTTTTTTGGGCCTATTTTTCCTCTACATTACCTTTGAAAGTTTACACATTTGTGTAGCAGCAAAATTTACTTATCAGAACAGGCTCTTCTACAGAAAGCTGTGCCTATTTCCCAAATCCAATGCAACTTTAGCCAGATTTTGAGCAAGGAAAAGAATAAAAATAACTTAAGGAGGTTCAAGYCTTAGGAAGCATGAAGAGGGAATGAAGGAGGACAGAGTCCTCTGCTAGTCATGGGTGCAACCCCAGAGCTCAACAAAAGCCTTAACGAGCAACCTTAGCTGCAGAGGAAAAGTGTCCCCCAACACAAAAAAAGCCTCCCAGTTTAAACAAGAAACCGATATAAAGAAAAAATTCAAGACTGTGGAAAAAAACATAAGCTAAGATACCCATAACTTACTTAAAGAAAAGAGTCATAGTAAAGAAATCTACCCAGCATGTTCATTACCTTGTTCCATTTCATCCCTTCTCCAGGAGAACTCCTCACAGCACAGCCACACCCAGCCTGAGCACAAGGCCTTTCCAGAGCAGGATGAAAGCCTTAAATACCCTCCCCACGCAGGTGGGGGATGGTCACAGGTGTCCTGCTGGGCCACCTGGAGCCCRTGAGGCAATCTCCTCGTGAGGATTAAAGCAGGCCGGGGAGGAGCAGCTCTCCCTTTTCTTCTCAGAAGGATCCTGAGTATTTCTACTGCTAGGCTGAGGCCTGCAAGCTGCAAGAAGGTTAGTGCCTTTCAAGAGATAGCTTCTTTATTTTGTTTTTTGGCTAAAAAAGGTACGTTGTAAGAGGAAGACTGAGGAAAAAAGCATGAAAGGTACTGTGGCTATTGTTGTTGGAGTGTTTTTGTACTGTCTAATTTAGCAGTCACTAGATGTATTTCAATTAAGCTTTGTTAGCACCTGCAGTGCATCTAACTGTCCTAGCTGAGGCCTTCTGTGGCAYGTTATTTGGTATAAGCCTTTTGTTGGTGTTAATAACCGCAAATTGATATTCTTGCTTTCTTGTAGGATAGCTGGGAACTATAGAGCTAAGATTTGTMTGTTTTTTTCTGTTTTGGGGGGCTAGACTTAGCTATAGCTTGTACTTTCTACAGCTCTTCATGCTTATTGTGCTAAGCATATATTAATAAGGAAATAAAAAACTAGTTTCACAACTCTTTTGGTTAATCCATTGGTGCTGTTAAATGAGAAATGGTGCACTTACAAGTCATTTGACTTATTGACTGCTTTTCTGAATCCTAAATGAGCTTATTGACTAGCACAGGCCCAAGTGTGGGCAAGCCAGACTCCCTAGGAATGGGAGTACCTCAGCCTTGAATATATAGTGCTTTATTTTCCTTTTGTGAGGGTATACAAGTTGAGAGGTACCATTTATAACCACAGTTTCTAGAGATAAATTTAGGGAGCACTATATATATGTATATATATGCATGCTAATCTTAATTCCCTTGTCTGTGCTGTTAGTAGAACATACAGSCTTGCATCCATTTAGGGCTTCTCTACAACAACTGTACAGGTTTATTTTTTAACCAGACTTCTTTGTATTTCCCCTCTGCCATGTAAAGCTCAGCTTCAAGGCTGTTGATCCCARTGGGACTGTTTCTATTGCCTGAGACAGAG